ACATACATGTGTCCTGCATTATCCTGGGATATGACTTCCATCTTTGGTTTCTTATTTCATACATACTGTCTTTTATCTGACGTTACTGGGATTTACACCGTCCTCGATCTGGGTTTTCCTTCCTTAATTGATGACCATCCTGGCTTTGCCCAGACCTACTGTGTTAAGCAGCGCTGCACATCAAACAGAAACCTCTTTAGTAGCTATGTTGTTTTATTCACATCAAACAGAAACCTCTTTAGTAGCTATGTTGTTTTATACACATGATAGAGTGAGATCTGAATATCTGTGAATATCACTACTAATGCTTTCATTAATATCAAAATATGAATTAAATGAATTAATACATAGAAATGAGATAATACTGTAGAGCACCCAGAACAGATAGAAAGTACTCAAATGTTAGCTCTTATTACAAATAGAAGATGCAAGCTTTATCCTTCAAGGTTAGGGGCCTTTTGAATTTTAGCCTCCAGTATTTTCTAAAGTTCAGAATGTATCATCAGTGCTTCTCAAAGCATGGTTTATGGACCCCATTATTAATTTTATCAAATTTCAACCCTTGAGTTCCTGTCTTTGTAATGTTCTTTGTGATGACTCGGGAAGTGACATACAATACTTCTGGTGCATACCGAAGGACACGGATTATTTTTTGAGTTAGAACTAGTCACTTTTTTATGGAACACTATTTTTATTTGAAAGAATAACTGACAAACTGTGGTTATTCAGACTTGGGTAATCGGCAGACGTTTTCTTGAAAATGAACAAAGTGAGGCTGCCATTTCAAGGAAAACAACTGATAGAATTTACCAAAGCTAAGATTTGAGCTTTCAAGTAAAAATTAGAATTTTGAAAAACTTGTACCGATGCTCTGAGCTTGACAACTTCTGTACACTTACAGGCTCTTATAAAATGAGTAATGATATTAATGAATGTAACTTTTAAAAAATATTGTATAATGAGCTGTGTTGATATTTGGAAGATCTATAAAACTTAGTGAACTAATAGTTTCCATCTAACCAATGTATGACGTTACAAAATGATGTCTGAATAGAAGATCCGTTCAAAGGCTGAGACACACCAATGGATTTTAATGTAAAAGAGTCCAGAAGATCATTGATAAGGTTTTAGATTCACATTCTGCAAAAACCTTTAAGAAACGATCACTTGTTGAGCCTTGGTATAGTATCAAAAAGAATATCCATAATTATCGAAAAGCTTATTAAAATAGTCTTCCCTTTTCCAGTTATATGTCTGTATGAGGTTCTATACATACATATATACAGTTATGTATCTGTATTTTCTTTGTATACTTTAACGCAAACAACGTATTGTAAGGATTTGAATGTAGAAGCAGATATAAGAATCCAGCTGTCTTCTGTTATGTCAGACATTAAAAAGATTTGCAAAAATGTAAAACAGTGCCTCTATTTTCACTGCTTTCTTGTTTAAATACAATTGTTTTTCATAAGAATGTGTTAATATGTAAAGAGCTGATTGCATATTTTAAAATGAGCCTATTTAAAATAGATAGATATTTTGAAATTTCTCAAAAACACAACTTCCTTGCAATGCTCAGTAGTTTAAAGAGTATAAAGGGGTTATGAGACCAAAAAGTTTGTGAACTACTGTAAGTATAAGGAAAACTATAGTAGTCAGTATGTGATTATTATGAGTGTTTTTCTACAAGCTATTGATATTACATCTCAATAATAATTCCTGGTGATTTTTGTCAAGTTTCACACCTTAGTAGTTTTAGAAATAGTCATGCAACCAAGGAACTTTTAATTTGTCCTGAATGCATAATAATGCCAGGCAGGTATTGTCTGAGATTCTTGGGGATACAAAAAATGAGTTAAATCTCAGTTCCTGTACTCTAGAAGCTTACAGTTCCACAGTGGGTGCAGGTAGGAAATGTCCAAACTAGTCATAGCAGAGTATCATCCTCTGCTAGTGCGGTGTGAACCACAAGAAGAGCATTCAGGAAGAAGGGAGCAGTGAGGCAGCAGGAGAGGAACATTTAGTTTAGTGTAGAGTTTGGATGCTATTAAAGGAAGGGAAGATTGTGATTATTCCGTGGATTCCAGATACAGCTGGATACTGCCAATTACGCATGAGACTACTTCTTGTCTTTCATCTTCAGTTCATATTCTGACAGTTTTTTTGTCGGATGCATCTGGTTCTCTGTGCTGTCTACCTCTTTTTCTCTTGGACCTAAAAAGTATTTCTACTGTGTATTCTCTATTCCAGGGTTCCTGGATATTGTAGCCTAATGCCGTTGTCTGCTAACCTTGGATCCTAGTCCTGCTCAAAAATAACTTTGTTGTATCTCTTGCTATGAAACCCTACTATTTAAAATTTGCGTATAATTAAGAAATACTTTTGTTGTAAAAATTGATTTTTAAATAAACTTTTTAATAGGTTCTGTATTATTTTGTACTTTTTAACCTACTCACTTTATTGGTACCCTTCATTGACATAAAAATAAGAATGAGCGAAACAATTTTCAATTTAGGCTCTTAAGATGCCCCAACACATTTTTTTGTCTTATTTATATCAGGATTAATAATTATTAGTCTCCTATTTTTATTCAAATAAGTGGAATTAAATAGTTCTATTCAATCAGGTATTTGGGGGGTTTATTATTATTGTGGCACATTTTTGAGCTAAATATAATATTGGCTTATTAAAATATTAAAAGAAAAAATAACACAGAAAAAACATTAAAATAAAAATAAATCAGGAGTGTTTGTCCTGGAATTATCAAGGACTTAGCAGTGTAGGTAGCAGTGATGAGGAAATGCCTTCATAACCAACCATTTGGGAACCTCGGCATAACATAGACCTTCTAGAAGAACCTGAAAGTTGAGCCATGGGCACAAGTTGCTGGATGGGCTGTGGCTAAAGGTTTCTGAGATGATACGTTTTGGCTAGACTCACTTGTAGGCAAGCAAGCGTTTGGAAAGTATTTAGAAATAGAGGAGAGTTTTTGGCAGCTAGTTTTGCTCACAGCTAGTTATGAAACAGAAAGGGACAAGTTGGAAGAGAAATGGTTGGGAACACTGCTTGTTTTTCTTAAATACTCGTGATTATAATAGCCTCCTGGCCTATTTGATTCCTCTGCCTGCCTCCTAAAACAGCTTCTCATAATTCCTGCGTAAAGCTGCTGAACAATCCATCTTCTAGCTTTTTTTTTTTCTTTCCAACATACTGTTCTCTACTAAAGGAATGAAGATGACTTGTATATGAAAGTCAGCACTTCGTGCAAGCTTTTCTCCCACCACGTCCCTCCTTTTCAGCTTACTGCCTCTGCAGGATTTTATTCCCGCTTGGGAAGTCCTCTGTGTTGCTCTGCTGTTGTGCTTGTTACCTCCTTCAAAAGTCTACTTGGAGCTTAACCACTTCAGGGTCTGTTTCCTCTTGAAGCCTGCCTAATTTTGACACTCCCCTTAGCATTTTTGTCCTCTCTTTCTCCTGAAATGTTTTGTGATTGTGACTGTAGTGATTGGACTTGTTCCGGTGTTTTGGGGATGGATGCTACCTCCCCAGGTCGAAGGACTGGACTACATGTCTTCTTTTCTTTTTGTTACTCTTCTCTCTTCCTTTATCACATATACTGCACACCTTTGCCAAGATAAGACTCCTCATGAGAAAAATGCTTGGATTAAAAGAAGGTGTTGGACCCAAGGTCCCTGAAGGAAATAACAGTTTTCCAAAATTTATTTTAACAACTTCACCTGTAAGGGTGGGAGTATCAGACCCACGGGTGAAAAACAAGAGGCTCTCTGGTCCTCTGCTGTCTTATTAGCTGCTCGTAGCTCAGTCCAAGTCAACAAATAATCATTGAGTAGCTCTCACTATGTCAATGCCTTCTTCCTTGCCGCTGTTGAAAATTCAGAGTGACTGTAAAACACAACAAAGGCTGTCACTGGGCACAGAAAGAGCTTTCCTGAGATAGCCCACAGAGAGTCGTGTTTCAAAGTTGAGGGTAACAGGGAGCTGGGAAATGGAGCTCTGGGAGGGCAGGGAATGTATTTCTTTGTCCATCACTGTGCACCCAGGAAGTGCCCCGTGCAAGGCCTGGGACAAAAAAGACAATGCATATTTCATGAAGGAGTGAAAAGAAGACGACATCCCTCACTTTTGAGGGTGTGTGGAATGAAATGGGGAGGAAATCAAGAAAGGTTTAATGGAAATAGTGGCTTTTAAAAGGCACCTGGATGGTTAGGATTTGGAGCAAGGGAGGGGAGAGCCTTGCAAGTGCAGTAAGAATGGCGTAGACAGGAATGACACGAGCTCTTTCACCTAGACCTTCTGGGTCCCTTCCCTCACATCTCTTTCACGTCTGCTCAAGTTTTACTTTATATTATAATAAGCCCTTTTCTGACTGTCATGTATAAAGAACTATAAAAATATTTCATCATTTACCATCTACTTAATTCTTTAAGGCCCTTATTATCATCTGACCTATTCTTTGTTTCTTTGTTTTTTACCGAAATTAGAATATAAATTCCAAGAAGGCAAGGACATTGTTTTGTTCATTGCTTTATCCTCAACACCTAGGCAATTCCTGGGTTACAGTAGATAATAAATATTTGATGAGTGAATGGATGACCCAGTGTGTGTGCTAGGAAGCATAAGTTATCTTGTTTATATTTTATTAAGATTTATGGTAGGGCAACTTGAAATGCTTTGAAAAGAAGAAGCATCTATTGGGATTGTCCTATAAGAGTGTCTGTCTCTCTGAGGTATGAAAGAATGATGGTATAGGTACTCATGACAGGAAGCTGCAGTAACAGGGTTTTTAGAAGACAAAAATTTAGAGCTGTGTGTGGGCTGGGGGAGTATACATGTACAGGGCAGCATTAGCAGTAGTGGAGAAGTTAATTCTTCCTGAGTTATTCCTCATTTATTTGAAGAGAATTACTTTCTGTGAAAAATCTGTGAATGTTTGTATCAAAACTATATTGTGCTAACCTAATCTGCTCTTTTCATGACAGGAGGCTGAACAGTACCCAGGGGGAAATTCGTGTTGGTCCAAGCCATCAGGTAAAGCACATTTTAGTGGCTTCTTTAATAGTTTTTTTTTTTTTTCTTGTCATTCTACTGGCCCTGCATTTTGTTGAGCAGCAGCTTAGAACTGTTGTTATCGTATAGGAAATTTTTATATAAATGCAGAGGTTTTTTTCTTTTCCCCCGTGGATCACCACATACTTTTTTTCTTTTCCTTCTCCTCAAAGCCCCAATACATAGTTGTATATCCTAGTTGTAAGTCTTAGTTCTTCTTTGTGGGGTGCTGTCACAGCATGGCTTGATGAGTGGTGTATAGCTCCTTCACCCAGGATCCGAACTTGTGAACCCCAGGCCACCTAAGTGGAGCATGCGAATTCAACCACTTGGCCACAGGGCCTGTCCCCACATACTTTTTAAATTGTGGTAAAATATACGTAATGTAAAATTTACCTTTTTAACCGTTTTTAAATGTACAGTTAAATGGCATTAAGTACATTCACATTGTTGTGCAACTGTTACCATCATCCACCTCCAGAACTTTTTTACATTCCCAAACTGAACCTCTGTACACACTTAAACACTAACTTTCCATTTTCCTCTCCCCCTAGTCCCCGGCAACCACCATTCTAATTTCTGTCTCTATGAATTTGACTCCCCTAGAGACCTCATGTCAGTAGAATCACACAGTATTTGTCCTTTGTGTCTGGCTTATTTTACTTACCATAATATCTTAAGGGTGTACTCGTGTTGTGGCATATATCAGAATTTAATTTCTCTTTAAGGCTGAATAATCCATTGTATGTATATACCGTGTTTTGCTTATCCATTAGCTGTTGATGAACATTTGGTCACCACAAACTTTCATTTTAACTTCTTTTAAATCCCCTTTCTTTCAGAAGAGTTAAGATGGTTAGGATGCTTGTCAGTCGGAAGCTTGTTGTGTTGTGACCTGTGCCCTCTCATGTTTTATTCTGTTTACTAGGACTCTGGTGTCATGTTTGTCATCTCTTTTGATCTCTGTATCAGTTAGGATGCTTTGATGGGCAACTGGAAAACTCTGGCTGAACATGACTGTCACATGTCATCACATCCTAGTCAGACAGGACCAGGGCTCTGCAGAGCTTCTCTGCGGTTCTCTTGGTGCTCAGCTGTCCCCCATGGACTGGCTTCTTCCTTAGGCTCTAGCTGAATTTCTCTGGTTCTAAGATACACTTCTTCACATTTTATTATCTCTGATGTTGGGCTTCATTGTGTATTCCATGGTGTGATTATAATTTAATTGGCAGCATTTCTCCTTTCTAAATGCACATAAAATTATAGTGGATCTTCCGGTGAATGTAAACAGCCAATGTTGAGAGGAGGAAAAGGATCATCCTTCTCTTCCCCTTAGAAGCCAGGAAAATTCTCCCAGAAGATCTCCATTAGTCCCAGTGTCTCATTGCCATATATTGGGTCATGTGTTCATTTCTAAAGCATGAGGAAAATGGATTTAGCATGATTGTCATGGATTGTCATTTGAGTTAGAATGGATGTTGGGGAGTCAGCCACCATGGCGAACACATACTAGAGATGTGAGACACAGGCAACTCCTTATAAGGGTGTAGAGGTTTTAGTAGTCTATCTAGTTACCCATTTTTCTGTCTAGATTTTGAGCATTTCTTGTGTCATTTGTATTTTTAACAACGTATTTTAACTCTGTAAATGAGAAAGAAATTAAGAAGTGAAGGGATGTTAGAACCAAAACACAGGGGCTGGCCCCGTGGCCGAGTGGTTAAGTTCGCACGCTCCGCTGCAGGCGGCCCAGTGTTTCGTCAGTTCGAATCCTGGGCGCGGACATGGCACTGCTCATCAAACCACACTGAGGCAGCGTCCCACATGCCACAACTAGAAGGACCCACAACGAAGAATATGCAACTATGTACCACGGGGGCTTTGGGGAGAAAAAGGAAAAAAATAAAATCTTTAAAACCAAAACACAGAAACCATCAGGGGCATCTAATTTCTAGAAGATACTTCTCATCTCAGAACTAGGATTATAACTGAGAGAAGCAGAAAGAAGCTGCTAGAGAACATTCCCCTTAATGTCTGCCTTGTTCAAATATGCCCTTTTCTTGGTGTGCCCTCTCAGTGGGTCTCACTGCCACCTCTTGACTGTAGTTTGTGTGCCTTCAGGTCTAGTAGTTAGATTTTTAATCAAGGAATCCAGTACTTGCCTGGTACCACTTGATTACATCTTCCTTTCTCTGCTCTTTTGCCACCGTACTTTCCCACCTGGTTTTTTCTTCCTCCATGTATTTCCAGGGTCATAAGAGCTTTGGACTCGAGTTTTATTTTATAGATTTTTTTTCCCTACCGTAACAGAAAAAGTGGTTCTTAAGTAAAAGATGCTTAAATTCCCTGGAAAGGAGCAAATTTAACTATGCTTGGATTTTTATATGCTTTCATTTAAAATCAGATAGTTATTTTATATCAGGTTTTAACTATATTCTATATGCTTTATTTTCAAAAGGCAGTGTTTGGGAACATGAAATACCACAGGACCTTTTTGTGAATTGGTAACATTTACCTTATTAGAAGTTTTAACTTTATTCTTAGGTAAATTATTAACATATGCAAAAGTAGGAAAAGAATAGTGCAATAAACCCCTTTATCCTCATTATTCACCTTTCACACATATCAAGTTAGCGTCAAACTTGTTTTATTTCAATCATACCTCTCCCACCATTATTTTGGAAAAAAATCACAAATACATCATTTTGCTTGTAAATATTCCAAAGGTAAGAACTTTTTCAAAAAACACAATCACACTATATCACACTTAATAAAAATTAGCAAGTTCTTAATATTCACCTGTCTGTTATGTCCAGATTTCCTTAATTGTCTCTCTTTTTTTGTTTGGAGTTCAAATTTAAATCTAACTAAGAGCATTCATTGCAGTTGGTTCATATGTCTCTTAAATTTCTTTTAGTTCTTATGTTTCTCTTACTTCCCCATTTTAAGTGTTGAAGAAGCTGAGTCTTTTGTACTATACGGTGTCCCACGGTGTGGATTTGGCTGATTGCATCTTTATATGTCGTTAAACTTGTTCCGTTGTTCTTGGCAAATCTTGAAAATTAGGAGTTAAATCGAGAGGTTTAATCACATTCTAGTTTGGTATGCTGTCTGCACAAGAGCACTTCATGGGTGGTGCTAAGTCGTCTACCAGGAGACATGTGTCTCTCTTCTAATGATGATTTGCAGCCATGGCTTGTTACCTAGATCTACTGTTTAATTAGGGATTTCAAAATGGTGATATTCTAATCCTGTAATTCTTTCATTTATTAGCTGAATAAACGAAGCTTCCCCCTTACCAACTATTTGATTCCCTGAATCATAAGGAAAGGCTTGATTCTTTCCCTCTATTCACCCGTTTTCACAATATTGAGTTGGTTCCCCAACATCTTCCATTGCGCACCAGTGGATTTAAAGTATTTGTTATCTGGTAACCAATTGCAGTTCTTATTGATGATTAGAGTGTCCATTTTGGGGCCAGTAGGAGCCTCTTTCTGCTGTCTGCCGTGTCCTTTTGACTGTACCCACTGGTCTTCGGTAGAGTCTTTTTATCTGGTGTGACATGATTCTAATGTCTCATCTTGTACATTTCCTGCCCTAGGTCTGGATCCCCTTTTCTCATAGGAGCACTCATTGTTTCAGTGGGATGTGGCATTTTTTGACTGGCTGATGAGTGTTTGTTGTTACTGGATTGGTTACTGTTTCCAGGCCTTTTCAGGGAACATATTAAGAAGTAGATTTTTTTTCTTTTCGTTTTTTTAAAGACAAAATACATTGTGGATTCTTAACTGAGACTTCTAATTCAAATTCAAATTTTATTTAGGCCTTAAATTAACCCTTTTTATTCTTTCTGCTGTATCTCTATCTTTTTCCCCTGTCTCAAATGCTATTTTTAAACAACACCAACATAATTATTCATTTGCTTTAATCCCTTAATACATATATAACAGCCCAGAATAACAATACTCACATTGTAACAAACAATATGATTATTGAAAACAACTTTTTCTTAATATTTGTTATGGCCTTAGAATATATCCCACTAGGGCTATATAGGCAAATTACTAAGTCTTAAAGTTATTTGAAATCCTTACTAGAGAGGATCCAACTCAAAACATAGTTAGGTGCATTTGTTTCATTTCACTTTAGAGTTTTAAAGAGGTTATTGTTCTTTAAACTTAATTTTTTGGCGCAAGTCCCATGGTCGAGTGGTTAAGTTCGTGCGCTCCGCTTCGGCAGCCCAGGGTTTCGCTGGTTCGGATCCTGGATGTGGACATGCACTGCTCATCAGGCCACACTGAGGTGGTGTCCCATGTGCCACAGCTAGAGGGACCCACAACTAAAATATACAACTATGTGCTGGGGGGATTTGGGGGAGAAAAAGCAGAAAGAAAGAAAAAAAACCCAGTTTTTAGCTCAGGTGCCAATCTTTATTAAACAAAACACAAAACTTAATTTTTTTATAATTATGTAAAATATTTGCATGGCTCCAAAGTCAAACATACAAATGAAGTATGTTAAAAAAAAAAGTCTACCTTCTACTCCTATCCCCTCCACATGTTCCCTCCCTTCCTTATGGGTAATTGTTATTTTTCCCTTTTTTTTAAATTTAAGGTTTTGATTTATCTTTATTTTTATCCACCCTCCCAACCCCCGCTGACTGTGAAACAGAGGTTGTTGATTGATGGCCCGAGAGCTGCGTGGCCTACTGACGTAGGTTTTCCCCATACGATTGTTTTAAAAACTTGAATAACCAACATTTAAAACCATGAGCTTTCACATAAAAGTCAAGATTTCTGGACTTTGGAAAAAATTGGAGGATGTAAAACACTGGTTCTCATTCCTGCGTGGCAGCATTCCCTGGATGGGGCAGCTTCCTCTCCATCTCACCCTGGTTCCCCTCACTCCTTAGTACCTAACACCTGCACAACCAGTACAGGAGTCACTGCTACATGTGGCACTTCAGCACTTGAAATGTGGCTGGTCCAAATTGGAGTGTGGTGTTTTGTTCAATGGCACTACTAGAGTATTTAAAATTAAATAAGTGGCTCTCATTTCATTTCTGTTGGACACTGCTGCCTTATACTCTGTCTGCTTCATTCATTTCATTTTTTTGCCTGGGTTCTGTGGACACTGGAGCTTTTTAACTGCAGGTCTTAGTTTAAAATATTAGACTAATGTGTCCATATTCATCATTTGATAAAATAAGAACATGTGTGTCTTGCAGATGGTTGACTTTTCGTAGGTCTCTCGTGGTTATGGTAGTCATAATACCTGCTTACTCTTGCTGTGCCCCAGCAGAGTGAGCATGAGAAAATGCTAGAGGTATTTGAATCTCCAACCCAGAGATGACTTAGAATCTTGGTTGTTGAGCACTGTTGTTCAAATATTTTTTTATTCCTTTTATTGAGGTATACCTTACATACAGTGAACTGTTCATATCTCATGTATACTGTTCAGTCTGCTGCAACAGTTCAAATCAACACAGAACATTTCTGTCATCTCAGCAAGTTCCTTCCTGCCCCTTCACAGGCAACCTTCTCCTCCTGAAGCTATTATTCATCTAATTTCTACCAGCATCTTTTAGTTCAACTGTGTTTTTAATGTTAACTCCAATGCCGTGTCTTTGTTTTGATGTTGACCATGACTCATATTGTTATTGACTCTCGAGAATAGCATTAATTTTAATAGAATAGTTCGTTGAATTTTTTAGCAAGTATCCTTCGGTGAGGTTTCGTTGTTTCTATCTGTCTCTTTGTAAACTTGTCATATTGGAAATGTATGTATTTTCCCCTTCTTTATCAAGGAGCTGTTATCTCCTGAGATGTTTTTTGGTTTTTATTTCTTTTATTCATGTGTCCATTTCTGTTTTCCTCTTTGGATCATTCTGGCACTGGTTTACTTTGACACTGTTTGCTCCTGCTTAAGTAGAGGTTAAGCAGTAAATTGTGAAGTCTTCGATGGTGAAATGATCCTGAAATGTGCTCCAGGCCAGTTTCAATGACTCATGGTTTTTCTGTTATTTCATTACTGCCTAAAGAGAGAGTAAGCTACTGCGTCTGTTCCCAAGGCCTGCCTGCTGAGGCAGCTCTTTAAGTGTGCCTGGTTGTGAGTTCTTCATCCCTGTCTTACAGGCCAAACTTCCGGATTTGCAACCATTCCCTTCTCCAGATGGTGATACTGTGACCCAACATGAGGAATTGGTCTGGATGCCTGGAGTTAATGACTGTGACCTCCTTATGTACTTGAGGGCAGCAAGGTAATAGGAATCCACCCCATCCTGCTTTCTCAGTTAGGACATCTGAATTGGTTAGTAGGCAATAAACTTTCTCCTTTCCCCTGACATTTTATTTATATATTGGGCATTCTCTGACTTTTTTTGTTATACCTTCTATATCAAAGCTTTGATTCTTCTTACTTTTAGAAGAAAAACATGTTAAGTCATACATGCAATTATCAACACTTCTCAATACAGTTGAGTAATTAGGCCATTCAGCCCGTCTTAAAATCCCATAACAGGCTTCTCTACTTTATGACTGTTAGTTGGTGCCTGACCTAAATTTGACATTTTTGTGGCTTAACTACATAAGAACTTGCTAACCTACAAAAATATGCAAACTACAGAAGAGAGGTTTAAATCTGTCCCTGACACATTGTAGTGCAGGCAGAGAGCCTTCCTTTGTCTGCAGTGATTTCTGGGACTCTACTTGCAGCATCAACGGTGTGCAAGAAAAACACTAAAAGAAGGCCAGGTGACTGAATTTTAGCTCTGATTGTGTTATGGTCAGCTGCACTACGCGTGGAGGCGCACAGTAGAGATGAGAATGCTTCAGCAGAGTGAATGACTACCAAGAGTTCTTTTTACTTCTCTTTTCTACTTTTAATTTGCCTAAAGGTAGTTGATGTGTAGCATGAAAGGAATTAAGTTTCAGAGGATTTAATTTCTTATGTTTTCTGAAGACTTTTCTCCCAAAAGATTGAAGTCTAGCCGACAGTTGTGACAAATAGTTTTAGATTATTCGTGCCCTCCAAACTAAAACCTGAGTTCTGATAAAGTGTGGGAAGAAATAACACAAATGGACCTGAGTAAAAGTTAACATTTCTCTTTCTGAGCAAGTGAAAAGTGAACTGTAGAGGAACTTAATTTTTTTTTTTTTTTTTTTTTAATATCAAGAGCAGAAGCAGCACTGAGAACTCTAACTTATCATGCATGTAGTACTTTGGTCTAGGCTGAAAATGTGCCCTGAAGGTTGAGGGTTAAGTTTCTGTACTGACGTTTTCCCTTCCTGTCTTGCAAGGAGCATGGCAGCGTTTGCAGGGATGTGTGATGGAGGCTCCACAGAAGATGGCTGTGTCGCAGCATCTCGGGACGACACCACTCTCAACGCATTGAACACGGTGAGTCTTTTGAAGTTGCCCTGGGTGGGAAGAAAGTTCTTTTTTTCCCTGTGCTGGCTGTAAGGAATATGTGATGAGCATGGAATGTGAAGGAACCTGGACTCTTAGGAGTGAGTACTGTGGTGTGGTGCTGGGATTGAAAGATAAGTCGTGGTCTTGGCCCTAGAGCTCCGTGACCTCAGGCCAGTGGTGTGGCACCTCCAGCTTCGTTTCCTAATCTGCCTGTGTACTCTGGGATTGTGGTGAGCCTCAGATGAGAGCCTAATGTGAGTGGTTAATTTTTACTGAGACCTCACAAAGCTGAGTGCTGTGCATAGATGATCTTATTCAATCCTCACAACACCTCTCTCACGTTAAGTTCTATGATTCTCACCACTGTAGACACAAGGAAATAAATTTACATCATACACCCAAGATTTGAATCCAGAGGGTGTGCTTTTCACTTTCTTGTCTGTCTGCGGCCATGTATTTGAAAGTGCATGGAGGGAATAGAGAAGCTGCTAGACTTCTTTGACAAATTTTTTTTATATATGGATTTGACTTTGGATATTTTACATGATTATAAAACAAAATTAAGTTTTAAAAATAACAATCCTTAAAGGTATCTAAAGTAAATGTAACAAGTGAGCCTAACATACCGAGTTGGTTGTGTGACATCCCACCATGATTACTCATCTGCTTGAATCCTGTACCACAGAGCAGCTGAGAATAACAAAACTTGAACTGCTGTGAACAGTATGGTTACTGAAACCAGTTTACTTTTTTGGGCACTCCTTTTTGACCTTAGAATATATCCTATAGGGCTGTATAGGAAAATTAATGTATTTTAAAGTTTCTTGAAATAATTCTTCTCTGTGTGGTTACTAGTATGAAATCATCAAGTCTGAAGAAGTAATAATGAATTTTTTGGATTTCTGATATGTTAATAAAGGGTCTACATGGTCGCATATACTTACATAGAATATTGAACATAAGGCTGAGCAATACTTCTGATGATTATCTAAATGTAATTTAAGCACCTTTTTGTTTTTCTTTTTCTTGAGAGGTCACTACAGTTGGAAGGGACTTTCAAGATCATCTGTTCCAGTCTCTAAATAGATAAGAACCCAAGCCTCCGAAAGGCCAAATGACTTGTTGAATGCCAACAATCCAAAAATTTCATAATGTAGGGTAGAAAACAACTCAGATTCCCAATTTACAGACCTTTCTACTATATAGTTTGCTTTCAAGGGAACATGTAGATATCTGAATGACATGGTTGTTTTATTCCTGGTCTAGTTGTGTTTCTTGGGTATTATACAATGTTATAATAGTTTCTTGTGTGTTGGAAGTTGGATGATTCTGCTGCGAATATGCCATGTTCTAAATAACTGAATGATTTTTCGCATTCTCATATGTATGTTTGTTTTACTTTCTTGCCTATTTGATACTTAGAGTTTTTGTTTTTGTAAGGAATCTTTATTATGAACATATAATGGTAGAGCCAGAAGGGGCCTTTGAGATTATTGTATAGTTGAGGAAACTGAGAATCACAGATTGGTGATAATGCAGACAGTGGCTGTGGTAGATGGAGGTGTGAATGTCTGTGAAAACCCTAAAAAATTTGTCTATATTCAAGGTAATTCATTAACATGAGCTTGTTTTCTATTGAGTTTTTGGTTTAAAAGCTTTCTGAAAAAAATTCTCCTTTCATGGCTATGTTGATCAGTTGAATTTTGAATAATGAAGATCTTGCCATATTTAATTTAATGCCTATTTTTGGCACTTTCCTGAATTTATCTGACTTATTCTCTTTCTTATCCCAGACCCTCTAAGGATTCTGTAGAACATAACTACTGTACAGAAATAATTTGGGCTATTTTTGCCCAAGGTCTTTTGTAGCAAGTTCCTTCTGAAGTTTTCTTAAGCATTGCCAGAGGGTTTTTGGTTTTTGGAGTTTTCATTTCTGTGAAACTCCCTTCCCATCATTTGGAATTCTTCCTGTCAAGGCGAGCTCACGTGGCTCAAGCGTCTTGGGTTATGCAATACCAATGCGTTTAGCCACCAACGGACTAAGTTGTGTGTGCTCATTTTGTGGTAAGTGGAAAAGTTTAGTGGCTGTTTTAATTTTTGTACTTCATTCTTATGCTGGCTCACAGAGAGGTTTAGTTGTAGGCACTTTCTTTAATGAAAAGTGAAGTGAATGGAAAGATCTTGTGAGAAGTTAATGTTTATTTTGACTTCCGTGACGTAATGGAGGTTTTGAGCTGTGTTAAGTAATAAGTTGAAAAGATAAATACATTGTCATGTGAGAAGTATTTATTGTTTTCTTAAGAGTATAGCATAGAGTCAAAACAAGGTTATCAATTTAGAATAAACCTTGTGTCCATTTCCTCTTTCCCAGGACGATGTAGAAATTTATTCGAAATCTGTAGTATTACACATTAGTGTGTGTTTAACCTCACAGTAGGACTGTTTAGTTTAAATGCATTTAAATACATAGTTTAATTTTTAAAATTGCAATCACTAGTAGAACATTTTCAAACTGTCACTTCTTTTGACAATTATGTGGACCTATTTTTAAAGGTAAACTCTTCTGTATTACTTATTTTGACTCATTTTTTCCTTCATTATTCACAAATGAGATTTTTAGTGTGCAATTTTTAAAACAATTTATTGGGGTATAATTTATGTATAATAAACTGCTCAGGTTTAAAGTATGAAATTTTATGAGTTTTCTCAGATGTATACAGCAGTGAAACTACTATAATGATCAAGATACAAAACATTTCCAACACTCCCAAAAGTTGCCTCATGCCCTTTTATAATCCTGTGCTGCTTCCAGCTTCAGATAACCACTGATGTGTTTTCTCTCTTTATAGATTAGTTTGTACTTTCTAGAATGTTGTAAGAATGGAATAATAACATATATAGTCTTTTGGGTCTAGCTTCTTTCAGCATAATAATTTTGAGATTCATTTGTGTGCATTATCAAAAGTTCATTCCTTTTTATTGCTGAGTAGTATCCCATTGTGTGGATATTCACAATATTTTATCTGTTTGCCTGGTGATGGATGTTTGGGTTGTATCCAAGCTTTTGGCCATTATGAATAAAGGTGTTAGGCACATTGTTATATAAGTCTTTGTGTAGACATATATTTTCATTTCTCTTGGGTAAATACCTAGGAGTTAAGTGGCAGCATTGTATGTGTGCAGGTTTCTTTTTAAGAAACTGTCAAACTGGTGTCCACAGAGGCTGTATCATTTTACATTCTCAGCAGTAGTGTGTTAGGATTTCGGTTCTTCAGCATTCTCAGCAAGACTTTATTGTCAGTTTTTTTAATTTTAGCCATTCTAATGGGTGTGTAGTATTTCACTGAGGTTTTAATTTGAACTTCCTGAGTGTTGGTGATGTTGAACATCTTTTCATGTCTTATTGACTATTTGTATATCTTTTGTGAAGTATCTTTTGACTAATCAAATCTTTTGCTCAAATATTTTGCTTAATTTAAAAAATTGTTTTTTGTTCTTTAGTATAATTTAATTGTAAGAATCCTTTTTATATTGCAATGCAAGTCCTTTGATATATGTATTGTGAATATTTTCTCCCATACTAGGACTTTTTCTTTTTTGTAATGGTGTCTTTCAAAATATTTAATTTGGTAAAATCCAATGTATCATTTTCCTTTCATGAAAGTAGCCTTGATCTTGATTATTCTGTGATTACAAAAATTGTTTCTGTGCTTGCTTTCTTGAAATTTTAGTTCTAACATTTAGGTCTGTGATTCATTTAGAGTTAATTTTGTATATGATGTGGGGTAGGAGGTGAAAGTGTATTCTTTTCCACACAGGTGTCAGAAATCAGAACATTTGTTGAAAACAGCCTTTTCTCATTTAATTGCCTTGATACCTTTATTGAACAAAAGTTGCATGTATATGTTTTGGTCTTTTTCTGGATTCTATTCTGTTTCACTAATCTAATACTTCTTTTTTGTTAGAACCTCTGTGTTTTCAGTGCTATAGCTTTAGAGGAGCTCAAGTAGTGTAAGTCTTCCTACTTTGTACTTGTCTTTTAAGATTGCTTTGGCTATTTTGGGCATTGGCATTTCTATATAAATTTTAGAATCAGTTTGCCAGTTTCTATTTTTAAGAAGGCATGATGGAATTTTGGTTGGGATTACATTGAATCCGTGGATCAATTTAGGAAGAATTGACATCTTAATGTTGAATCTTCTAGTCTATGAACATGGTATCTCTCTCCATTTTTAAAAAAGGTGTCTTTAATTTTTTTAAGATTTTGTAGTTTTCAGTGTAGAGGTCTTACATATACTTTGGTAAATTTATCTCTAGGTAATTACTGTGAGAAGATGCTATTGTTAATAAAATTGTATTTTTTAATTTTAGTTTCTAAATGTTCATCAGTAGGATAGAAATACAATCAGTTTTTATGTGTTGACCTTGTGTCCTTCGGCCCTGCTAAATTCTAGTAGTTTTCTGGTTGGTTCTTTAAGATTTTCTGTCTAGACAGTTATGTCATCTGCAAGTAAAAACTGTTTTACCCCATTCCTTTCTAATTTTTGTGTTTTATATTTTGTGCTTCATTGCACTCACTTGGACCTCTGGTGCAATACTGAATAGAAATGATGAGAGTGGACATCTTTGCCTTCTTTCTCATCTTAGGGAGAAAACATTCAGTCGTTCACTGTTAAGTACAATGTAGGATTTTTGTTGTCATTGTTTAATCAAGTTGAGAATGTTCCTTTTATATCTAAATTTGTTGAGGTTTTTATCATGAATGGGCGTTGAATTTTGTCAGATGATTTTTTTTTCTTTTGTATCTAATGAGATTATCGTAAGGTTGTTTTACAGTCATGCACCACACAATGACATTTCAGTTACAACAGACTGCATATACGACAGTGGTTTCATAGGACTACACAGCCTAGGTTTGTAGTAGGCTATACCACCTGTGATGCTGACACGACGATGAAATTGCCTAACGACAGATTTTTCAGAATGTA